AGTGATTTGAGAAGTATAATATATTTATAAAAGCTAATTGGGTGTTTAGAAAATTTTAATGAGTACCAAAAAAATGAAAAATCCAGGGCAACCAAGCAGATTTTCCTAAAATGCCAATGAAAGAACCTGTAAAGACAGGTTTTAGCTTTTGCCTTTTGTTTATATCTTGGTGAAGTTTTGCTTATTTATAATAAATTATATATCAAAATAACTAGATCAGAGTGCTTAGTATTTTTCTAATAAGTAGCAAGATATATTTACTTAATAAAATATTTAGAAAATTGGCAAAAATTGGAATTTTGGTTTTTGTAACTTTTCTCAGTAATCAAATGTTGTAATAACTTAAAACTTAGTTGCTAAAAGTAGAAAAGTATGCTTAGTAACTTTACTTAAGGGAACAAGTAATGTTTACTTAATAAGATATTAAGAAATAGTTAAATGTTTTTGTAAAATTTAGTACAAGTAATTTATGAAGAGAGTTACAGAATTGGTCTCCAAAAAATCTAAATACATTTTTTAAAATTTTTTTTCCTTATTGACTAATCATGTCAAGATCTTTTTTTTTTAATGTTAAGGCGAGTAATTGCGACTCAGAAGTTTATTGATAATCAGTCAGCATATAATTATTGTGTACAACAGCTACAGAGGCAATCATAGAAAAAATGTACAACTAATCACTTGTACAACTTTAGTCATTGTCTATTTTAAGTAGTCCACCTGAAGGTTCTACACTAGTTGCTATATCTAAAACTTGCCTGTGGATTCTCTATTTAAACACTCTATTCCTATATCTACCTCTACTCTATTAACTACAACCATTGCTGCAAATATACCATGATCACTAAGTCATGTTTAACTTTATACTAAGCCCACCAGAGCCTTCTGTATCTCATACTTATAGCTAACCCAGTACCATTCTGGCCTAGACTATTACTTGCAGTCAGGACTAACCATTAATCTACTATATTCTTGTAAAGTTCACTAGAATCTCAATACCTTTCTTTCCTAACTTCCACACCTCTACTTCTGAACCTACAAGACCCACAGACATCACAAACTACCAATCAAGATGGCCCATCCAGTGAACCTGACAGCCTAGTTGGTATGTGCTTCTCTACACATATTGTCATCTGATCCATTCTAGGTCCTAGTAATCCTTTTTTGGAGGCTTCTGATGGTTTGGTAGTACCATCAAAAGTCCAAGCTACCTCTTTACTTAGGATTTCCAAATAGGTTTCCAACTCTTCAGTTCTTTTGCTTTTTGCACCTGATAATATTATCATGAGTTTGCACTGAAATCTTATGCAACATCGGTTATTGACATTTCTCTATGTAGGTGTAATACTACAATTTGCATAGATGCCCCAAGCTCCTATTTGAGATGGTGCGTAAACAATACTTTTATTATAAATAAAGGGCTTTCCGCCCAGGGGGAAAGTAACTACGATACCCCAAGTAAATACATTTTGCATAATAAACTTAAGTATCGGACCCATAGTTAAAGTAAAACTATAACCCAACCCAAACTAAAAACTATCGTTAAAACCATCGTTATCAACTATCGTTCGACCATTTGTAATTCACTAAAACCGCATTTTGATCGTTCGCCGTGAGTCACATGATCAAGCCGTTAGTGCAAGAGAAGAACTCCAATCCCGATTCAACGTATTGTAACCCCAGGTTAAGGAAGTAGAAAGAAGATAAGAGAAGGCAAAGGGTTAATAGAAGATTAGGTTGATGGAAAAGACTTAGAAGAGAAGATTAGTACTTACCTACGGATAGACCAACCAGCCAAATCTAACACGCCTATTTCGACTTAGCCGTCGTAGGTTACACGAGAATTGGAAGGAATTAGCGACAGACTCGCCGATTTACCGAATACACTACAAAATTTACAAAATTTGAAACCGCAATAAACCGGATAACTTCTTATGAATACATTTTTGCATATTACGATTATGCGAACTAATTTAACTTTAAAATTTTTCACATAATCGTAACATGTAAAAAAAATTTATTAATAAAAGATCCGATTTTAAAATGACCTATTTTGATCTCTTGAACAACTTTACTTAATGCACCAATATCGATTTACATAATAAAATTTTGTCCATATTATATAGTATCTTTAAACAGGAAGATTCCGTAATGGCTTGAGTTGAAGCCGAATTCCCATCGAATTACCTGCCTCCGCTGACTTTAAATAATGCTCGAATGTTTTTTGTTTATCGATTTTAACCCCAATTCCTAAATTATAACAATAACCAACTTGATACATTCCGTGTACAATATTTGAACTGAATATTCTATTTAGATTAACGATGATAAATGTGAAGTTTTTTATAAACGCTCCGGACATTAACAAAGCATGTTATTAGTATATATTTACATATAATTATGTTATGACATGTCGAACTTTTTTTATTTGTGCTCATCCTAGTCTATTCGTATGCATATTACAGTATTAATATAAACTTATGAAAATACACTTGCTTGACATTAACGCAATTTATATTATCAGTATATCAAAGAGTTAAAATTTTCTTATTATATGCTATTTTGATGACAGTTACTAACTCTGATTTTCTTTAAAAATTTAAACAACCTTATACATAAGACCCCAGCTATATAAAACGTGTCATTTTGTTACTAGTTTTGATATTTCTAAACCCGGCCTATTACAATGAGTTATAGTTCCCGGTTTTGTGTGACAACGTCGTGCAGCTACTTTTATGTATACGTATAATAAAGTTTAAGTTAATTGCATATTCTCATTAATTATTAAAAATACACGAGATTGCATACAAACGTGGTACAATGAATTTAGACCCATTACTCGCGCAAAATAATATGCACTTCACAATTCATAGCTTCAATATAGCACAAGGCGTTAGTTATTTGTAATGTTTATAAGAAATCAAACTCTTAATTCGCTTCGAGGGTTTCGATAATTCTTAGAAGTTTCGGAATTCCGGGAATTTATACCACATCAGAGTTATATTACTTCGGCTGAAGGTGATTTCCACTTCACGACTACCATTATGTTTCAAGGACTAATTTTGGTAAGATGAAATTGAACTTTGAATTACATATATTGAACTAAAATAAAATAACAATGAAAATCATTAATAATAAAATGTTAATCCCGTATCTGTCCAAGGACATCAAGACTTTGATGCTTGGTCTTAAAAAGATTTTTAATCTATGGTTCTCTTATTAAAGATGTGACATTATTCAATAAAGTCAATGATAAATTACAATATTGAATTGTCAGAACCAATATTAAATTAATATATGGGTTGGCTTTACATAGCCATAACTTACCAATTATTACCACTGTTGACATTATTTTAATCGCCAATATTAAGGATGTATGAAAACATAGAAAAATGATCGATTTACTATCATAGCCGACGATTTATTTGCAAATTTTTGTAAAGAAATCACTGATTTTTGATTTCTTAAAAGAACTAGGATATGATAATTTCATATAACTATATCGGAGTAGTTTTTTGGAAATCAGACATATCAAGCAATCACCTAACAATAGTATGATTGATTTTTTATTTTTTTGATGATCTGCAAAATTTGATATATGATGATAATCGATATGTATAAAAATCGATTTAAAATGATTATTGCTGTTTGCAAAATGATGTAGCTTCGATCCAACACAACTTACCTGTACAATCACATGATTGTCATTCGTTGTGCAATTGTAAAGTAATTTCTTAATCAAAAATTCGCAAATAAAATATTTTAAAATTTTGACCTATATCCGTACCCTCAAATATAATGATGTTAAATTGGGATTCCAGTTCGGTCTTATCCTAGTATCTAAAAGGATGGTCCTGGACTTGGTCCTTAAATCACATGAAAAAATAATGCAAACATCAATACATTTTATAGGACTTAGATCTGTATCAGATCATAAATTGAATCTATCAACCAAGTCTATCCAATGAAATTAAATTTGTGTTATGATAATTCAATTCAGGATCTAAGTCCTATAAAATGTATTGTATTTTCATGTGATTTAAGGATCAAGTTCTTACTGATCCTTAAAAGGATCTGAAAGAATCGGTTAGGATTCGATCCCAAAGGATTAATTAACATCCCTATCAAAATAACACATTCTCAAAAATAACTTTGCACAATCGCGCAGTCAGGCAATATCAGGTGTGAGCATTGCTCTGCAAAATTCGATCCATTCATATCGATTATAATCGACAAAATTTCAATCGTTTTTAATCGTCGATGATAATCGATTGAAATCAACTAAGTTTAATCGATTGCAGGCGGGTTTCAAAAATTTCTGATGAATGTAGAATTGAGGGTAAAAAATCCTTCTCCAGACATGAAATCTTGCACGATGTTTGAGTCAGATTTCCAGAATCGTCTCTTCTAAAGTCAATGCAGCTCAGTTCGATAGTGCAACTAACGCATCAGGAAATTTTACAATTATATTATAATCAATTAAAATCTAAGGATTTCAAACTATTTTCATCATCGCCGATTATAATCGATCGATATATGTATATATTGTATCGATTTTTATCATTATACGATTAATTATCAACACCACCGTCGATTATTATCGCTTGAAGCCAATCAATTATAATCGATTAATTGTTTGCAATCGATCACAATCAGGAATCAAAATTTCCTGATGCACTGTTCAAAATACTATATATATTTAATTGTTAATAATGTGAATCGTTGATTAACTTAAATACAGAATAGAATTGAAGGCAAAATTACTGTACCGTAGTATTTTGTGGAAAAGGGTTTCATGAAGAATGCAATAAGTCAGTTATTTTTGTCTCCAATTCATAATCAATAATAATCAATAACTACTCGATACATACCATTAGAATCTTAATAAATAATTCTTGCCGTATATAACTTTTTAATATATACCACCAATATGCTCGGCTTTGAGGATTTTTGATGAACGACCTATGTTCATTAATTCTAATTTTAATTCATTTCAGAAAACAATGATTACGGAGTCAGCTCAAGACCAGCTCATTCCACAGGTTGGACAAAAATCTTTTTTACAAGCATGTTTTCAAAAATCTTTGGTATGATATGCAATTTTTCAAATATTTTCGCATGTAATTTAAGATATTTAGAAATGTCGCATATCACACCAAAGATTTTCGAAAGAATACTTTCGAAAAGGTTTATTGTTCAACTTATGTTCCTTGGCCATAACTGTAAGACCAGAACTAAAACAGAACATTGTGTCATTCCTAATTATTAAGGAACAAAATCTTAAAGAACGAAATTGTATTGTTATTAACAGAAATAGGTCATTGATAAATTAACTCGTTAGCCAACAGTAATTCTTTTTCTAGAATCATTCCTTACGGTTGTGTACAACATTAATCTAACAATAAATTTTATACTGTTAGTAAAACGAGATAAATGCTTTGTCAAATGTGGGAATCATGAGAAAATACGTACGTACGTACGACATGAAAGATTATATTTATTTGATCTATTTTTTCGTTGTCTTTAAAACGAATCAAATTTAATATAAAACATAAAATCAAAAATACATGCATGTAATTTTATATACAAAAATAAGTTAAAGATGTGAAATTTGAATTTAAAAAATTTGTGCCGTTATGCATGTACGTACGTTATCGTAAAAAGAATGCGCCTTTTATCTGCAGTGTGAAAATCTCAGGCTCGTTTCACAACAGAAATATTTAAGAGTAATTGAAACATGTAATATTACATTGGAAACATGTTTGGCTGAGGTTATATTTTTATAAATTTCAAAGAGGAAGTATGATTGTAGATCAGTCACCATAAATTATAAAACTGTAAAAGTTTGCCGATATTTTTTTGCTTAATTAAAATGGATAATTGTGCGAACGAATCATCAATAATTATATTGAGCTCTTTTGTAGGCTTCATATTACTTAATTATGTATCTTCGAAATGTATCGCTTCTTACACAGTAAGTGATTTTTAATTCTGATATAATTCAATATTCTGAAATTTAAATTCATTTTTCTTTACATTGTTGAATTATAGACTTTTTACAGTCATTTAAGTCAAAAAAAAAGAGCGATTTGGGACAATACGTTTGTTAGCTACGCTCACGCATGTATTTGTTCAATTATTACTCCTCTATGGTGATTTTTATTTATCAACTTTTTTCTATTTTAATTTGCTTTTTTTCTAAACTTATATATTTGTTTTTGCTTTTTTTTTTAGTTTTTACTATTACCCTCAAGCGTGGAATGATATGATTAATGCAGATGTGTCATTGTGCAAATTTCAAATTGCCTTTTCTATAGGTAAAAAGTATGTCCCACAACTTAATCTAATTAAATGCATCCAACTCAAAATCTTATAATTTATTATAATACATTTTATTTTGGTTTGACATTATGTGTAAAGGTTATTTTTTTTCCGATATGTTTGATTTTTGGAAAAAAGAGATTTTCATGGATTCACCAGGAATTTGGATTCATCATATTGTGGTACGTAACTCAATGATGATTTTTTTGTGTACAAAATAAAACTTTAACCGAAAATTTTTTTAGGTTTGTTTAACATTTTTAGGATCAGTTATAATATGTAAATACTCACCATATTTGACAGCAACATTATTAGTTGAAATCAGTAACATTTTTTTGCATCAACGCAAACTTTCTCTCATGTATCACAAATCAAAATCAACCACATTATACAAAATTAATTCTTTACTACTTATTTTAACATTCATTTTTATTAGAATGATAGTTCATGGCTATCTTTTAATAAGAGTATGGAATGAGCATCATATTTTTGGCCATGAATTTCAATGGATGGTTGCACTGTTCGGCATGGTTGCAATGAACATAATTAATTGTCAGTTGTTTTCACAGCTGTGGAATGCTGATTGGGGTAGAGAAGTGACTGGGATGGTAAAACGGAAAATATGACGATTATGTTAGTAGTAAAATTTTATTTAGCCGTTCTAAATTATATGACATGTCATTAAACGTGTTTTACTTTTTAAATATCAATTTATAATCATTAAAAAAAATACATTATATTAACGAAACTATTAAATACAACTAGAATGAGATATTATAAAATATTTACTACCGAGTATTAAGTAATACAGTAATATTAAATGTTACTACTGTTGGAGAGAATAAACTGTAGGGATGTATTCAATTGGCTCTAGTGGCAACCTAGGAAGTAATTCAATACACAGGGAGTCGGATTATCTTGTACTGTATACCAGTATATAACGAACCTTTTGTAGAACCTGCATTATAACGAGGCTTCTAAAAAAAAAAAAAACATTATAGAGTGCTGTATAAAAACATGATAAATTACTTTGTATGAGACCTTTATTATAGAACTGCATGTTCGTTATAAAGTGAGTTTATTCTATGACATTGTGGATTTTAAGTATTCCTAGGTAATCCGTCTAAATGATTATATAACACTGAACCAATTCAATTTTGAACATATTTAGTAAAATTAAGTATTATCGCGGTTGAAACTGGAAGACATATATTTGACGGTGCATGTTTTCGACAATCTTTTTCTTAGACTAGACATTTTCCGAAAATTATTCTCCGGCATATAATTCTAACTCTAAATTAGCAACTTTAAAGCTAAATCAGGCCAATTTTATGTCGAGGAATGATTGTCGGGGAAATTTCTTGTCTAAGAAATTATCGAAAAATTGTGTTGTAGATGAAATAGCGTGTCGGCATTACGATGTTGGGGAAATAAATGTGTTGGCGGGTAAATAACTTTCGGGGAAATATTGTTGGGTTCGGAAGATTGCGACTCGGTCGCTCCAAAATTCTAAACCTCGTGTAACGTACGACAAGTAACCTT